AGTCACCTTCATGAAGTTTCCCTGCTTCTTCTGAAAGGCAGAGAATTTGGGGACTGGGCTCACACAAAGGACTGGGTCTCCAGAGCAAGGCCAGAGAAGTGTGCGTCAGAGACCTGCCCAGCACAGGAAATGGCAACAGGGCAGCCTGCTCCCAGGTAGGGACAGAGGACCAGATCCACATCCCTGCCTAGCCATTGCCTGGGAGGAGGCGGGAGTGAGGACTATGCAGAACAGCAGGCCTGCCTGGCATGGAGCCATCAGAGTGGCCCAGGGCACTGGGCTTTGTCCCTCCAGAACTGGCTCTGTTAAGACTGTGGCATTGTCTGAGACACAGAACCCAAATGCCTTAGATGAATCAGACTGAGACAGGAGGACTGCAAATTCAAGCCCAACATGGACAACTTAAAAAGTCCCTGTCTCAGTCATAACGTTAAATAAAATAAATTAGACACACAAACTTTAATATCACATTTTCTCTTATATGAGAAACCCAAAGTATAAATAAAGAGTAAAATAAAAGATATATAATACGAATCAGGGAGGTAGATCTTTTGCAAATGTGAAGGGGACCAAGACACAGAGGGAGCCGGGAAGGTCAAGGGAATGCAACAAGAATTAAGGTGTGTGTATGTGCACCACCTCCCCACAGGGAATGTAACCAGTAGATGCTGCAAACATCCACCAATAGAAAATGAAAATGCACCAACATAAAATGAATGATCATATAAAAAATGGAGAGAAATTCTGTCCCAGAATAAAAAATATAAAAGGTGCTGGAGTTGCAGCTTAGTGTGAAGACCCTGGTTCAATCCCCAATGCCACCAAAGAAAAGAACAATAGTGAAGGAGCCAATCCACCCAAATCTGACCATTGAGGAGTTCTATCCCAATCTTATTTTTTCTTAGAAATACTGTATACTGAAATATAACTTGCATATGGCAAAACTTGTAGATTTAACTACAATAAACAGTGCAACCAAGGCACACAGACCTGGTTGTTTATTATTCAAAGCCAGGCTCTCTGTTTCAAACCACCAATCAGTGAAGGGCCACTTGAGGAAGTAAAATGAGACCAGTGGATGTCTGCACTCCTGATGATCCCTTTCTATAGGGTCAACACAGAGTTAAGACATTCATGCTGTACTTTTGGATCTGAAAGGTCCCACAATGGTCTACATGCTGAAGGATTGGTCACCAGCCTGTGACTTTACAATGGGTAATGTTAAAACTTTTGGGAGGTGAGGGTTTGTAGGAGGAGGTGAGGTCACTGGGGGCATGCCTTGGTTTCCTAACCCTGCACTGAGCAGCTCTGCTGGGACACCTATGTCCCACAATGATGCTCTGCCTCAACACAGGCCACCAGCAACCCAGCCAAGGAACTGAAACTAATGAAACTTTGGGTCAAAAACCCTTTCCTCCTCCTACTCCTCCATAGATTGTCTCAAGTATTCTGTCAGTAATGGAAAACACCACTCACAATCCCTGGTGGGGCAAATGCAACAGCATAACACGGGAAGCGTTTCAGCAGGGTCCAGGAGATCTGTAGGATGGTTGACCACAGTGTGAAGACAGACAGTGGGTTGACAATGAAGGGCATCCTTGGACTGGGAAAGGACAGCCTAGCAAGAGCCAGGCCTTTGTGGATGTAAGTAAAGATCACTCAGGGAAAGCACATGGGGCTGATTCTGCAGGCTTGGTACAGCAGAGTCCCCATGTGCCCTGTGAGTGGTGGAGGCCAAGGCAGCCAGAGGATCCTAGGAGGCTGAGATGTGCTATGGCACAGGCTGTGGGCAGGGGAAGATGCAGCTGGGGAAGCTGTGCTTTAAGTGGAACAGACTCTGAAATTTACAGGAAATTGAGATGGGAAGGGATCTCCCCTTTCTCCAGAGGAAGCCAAGCCCAACCACACGGTTCAGTGTACCATCTTAAATTCAGAAACCTTAAAGCTTCTGGAAGCCTGAGTTTCCAGCATGGGAGGAATTCACTCTTGGTTACAAACAGCCTTATCCCTAGGATTCAGCTGTGGCAGCACAACTGGACGTGGGGTGCACACCTGTAATCCCAGGGAGACTGAGGCAGGAGGATCACTACCACTTCAAGGCAAACCTGAGTTACAAAGTGAGTTCAAGGCCAGCCTGAACTACGTAATGAAATTTTGTCTCAAAAAGACCAAAAAAAAAAAAAAAAGCTATGGCAGCACACAAAGCACTCAGATGCAGGCTAAGTCCAAGTGTGGCATCTGTGTGGCTGCTGGGGGTGGACCCAGCTTCCTTCCCTTGGTCCTGACGTGGAAGCATGGCGAGGATGAGGGAAGAGGTGGCAATGCATCACCTGCCGGGCACTGGGGCACATGCTGCTGGGTGGGGTTCCTCTCACTGGCTGCCGGGGCTGCTGCTGAAGATGGGAGATGAGCTTTTATAGCCATCTCCATAGCTTTTATGTGCAGCCTAGCCACTGTGCAGTTGACTTCTCAGCCTCTCTCCTTCTTCCAAATTGAAACAAAGATCAAGGCAAAGGATATGGGTGCAGGGAGATGTCAAGAATTTTGAATTTTCCAATCTATTACTGGACCTACTCTTGCTAATGGTTGGGGGCTATGAAGGGAGTGACAGGGGTTCTGAGGAGATTTCCTATCTCCTTGTGAGATTACCATCAAGGCTATAACTGTAAGGGATTTTTGCTTTCTTTTTTCTTGGGAAATGGGTACTGCTGGGGAATAAACCCAGGACCTTCACATGGAGCTACTTCCCCCGCATTTGCTTATTGTTTTAATTTTCAGATGGAGTCTCCCTAAGTCACTCAATTGCCCAAGTCAGGCTTCAGTGTGCAGTCCTCCAGCCTCAGCTTCCCACATGGCTTGTGTTACAGGTATGTGCCACTATGCCTGGCTGTCACTGATTTCTGCAGGGGAAGACTGGCTTCCTCCCAGAAGGCCAGTTTCCTAGGGACAAAATGAGACAGAAGGCAGCAGCACCATCATGATGATTCTTTTTTGTCACTTTGACCTTTTGTGGAATCAAATGCAAGTCCAGTAATGGCTAAAAAACCAGTGTTCATTTTTCCTCCAGGAGCGGCAATTTGAGGACGCCACCGCCTGGCAGAACATGGCACTGTGGCTCAGGTGAGGGTCTCTTGTCTCTTCTGTGGGCTCAGGATGGAGGTCAAGCTCCACATCCCCACAAGGACACGTTCTGCTCCCCTCTCCCTGCCTCTCTGGGTCTGTATTGGTCAGCACTCACAGACTAACACACTGGGGAGGTGGGCTCCCCAGAAGCATCATCCATGTGGACAGGAAGTGGAGACGGCTGTGCCAGGTGGTAGCCAAAGCTGTCCCTTTGTAACATCAGCACCTGCCCCAGGATGCACGGGCTTCAGGGCTGGCTGGAATAAGGCCCGGGATGGTGACCAGAGAACCCACTGGGTATGAAGACACACAGCACACGCAAAGCTCAACCTGCTGTCGCGCGCTCATCTCCGGCTTTCCCTCCCCTGTCCTGAGCCTCCCAGGGACAGATGTCCACATCCCCAAGTCTTCAGGAAGTTCAGTTCCCACAGTGCACAGGAAAAACCCATGACTGAAGGCTGCTTTTGTTTTTCTGCGCTAGAAAAATCTCCCAGGTGAGTGAAATGGAATGGATGATGGAGGAAACCTGGCAAACCTCATTAGTTCAATAAAGTCCCTGCCTGGAAACTGAAATATGAATTCCTCAGGCTCAGAGCCAGGCTGCTGCTCAGTGACACAGTTGGGCCCCAGTGCAAGGGAACAATGTGGAAAAGTCACATTACTGGAGGTGGAATGTAGCACTAGGACCATGGTCCCCACACATGGGGGTCCAGGGCCTGCAGGACTCTGCCCCTCCCCCATGGGCATTGCCAGTCAGAGCTTCTGCTTGGCTGCAGGCTGGATGCTGTGACCCCTCCCTGCTGGAAGACACTGCACCAAGCTGAACTCCTAGGATAAGGACAAAGTAAACTTCTAAGTGCACCAAGTTTAAAACAACAGCTCTGCCCTAACAAACCCAGTGCCACTGTTCTGCTCCCCTGGATCAGACTCTGCCTTGATGACATGTCCCTGGGGACCACAGGACCCCAAGGCCTCAGAGGAAGCCTCAGTTCAGTGACTTTGTCCTTCTGTCACTCAACTACACACAGTGGGGTGTATGCATCCCGCTGCTGTCACTGTGTTCTGTCCACCGAATTACTACATTCTCTTCTCACTGGTGTGGTGCCTTCCTCTATCACTAGGGGTGGGAATAATGCAGGGTCCTGAGAATACATGTGGCCTCTACTTCCTGCTTGTGTATAGGCATACCTTTCATACTGTCCTATGACAATGAAGAGTTGGTGTGGTATCAAGATCCCATTTTATAAGAAACTAATGCTTCATACAAGGACTGCTTCCTTCACTCATGAGAGGTCACAGGACAGAGTTCCACTAAATGCCACAAAGACCCAGGTGGGTGGCCTGGCGCTGGTTTTGCTATTCTGTGGCCCAGGGCACCCCTCTCCCCTCCCACACTCGAACTGTTTGGTGGGCTGGGACAAGGGGAACCCTGCATCATGTTGATGGTCAAAGAAATGCTCTGTTTTTAGATGAGTGTTCACTGTGCCCCCCAGCTGACACTCAGTGGTCCTGGGCCAGGACTGGAAAACTGAGGCCCCAGCCACCAATGCTGGGAACCTTGTGGTGCCAGGCCTTTAATTCAAGGCTGGGAGGCCACCACAGCATGGGGACAGCAGTCTCCTACCTCACCTGTGAGCAAAGGCTGTGTGAGCCTGGTTCTGCAGGGCCCAGGTTCCTGGCCTTTTCTGACCTTAACCATGGCATTGCCCAGGATACAGGTGGCAGGGGTACAGGGCAGCTGTCCTTTTCCCAGGAGTTGGAAAATTCCAGGCTGAGATCCAGCCAGATTGGGAGAGGGGCTTGGATCCCACTTATCACCCAAGGTCTCTGGATAAGAAGGAGGTGGCACACAGGTCTTCTAGGTGGGCATGGCTTAAGGGATACCAGGGGACATAAAAAGGGCCCCAAAACAGGCAGGCACCATCTTCCCTGACAGCAGCACCATGGCCTTCCTTTGGCTCCTGTCCTGCTTTGCCCTTGTTGGGGCCGCACATGGTAAGTGCTGGGACTTGGGGTCAGCAGACCTAGAGAATTTGGGGAGGAGGCCCAAACCCCTGATAATCACAAGACAGCTTGGAGCTCTGTCCCCAGTAACAGGTGAGCCTCTTGGCTTCACCCTGTTCCTGATGAGACTTGAGGCTGCAGCAGGAGAGGGGTCCTTCAGGACTCTCAGCCCTGGCCCCCTGCAGCAGGAGAGAGAGAGATATGCTGGCCCAGCTGAGGTTGGCGGCTCCATGCATGCCTGTAGGCAGGATAGAAGATGACTGCAGCCCTCGCAAGACATCCAGAAAAGGTTTTTAATTTATCATGCTGGCACTGGCTGAGCTTTTTGTTTATTAAATTTAGGAAGAAAGGCCAAGCATGGTGGTATGCACATGTTATATGAGTACTCTGAGAGGCTGTGGCAGAAAAATTACAAACTCATGTCCAGCCTGGGCAATTTCTGGATCAGGCCTTGCTGGTTGGAGCAGATGCTGCTTCATGGAGAGCCCTGGCCGAATTCCCTTGGGCACCTCCAGTAGAGCTGTTGGTGACTCACATTGCTTCCAGAGGTCCAAGGAGAGGAGATACTTCTTTTTAAAACTTAAAAAGCAGTTCAGCTAAAGCTTTCCTTCACTCTCTCCTCCTTCCCGTTCTGAGCTTCGTGCATCATTCTAAGCCAGCTAATAAAAATATACTATATACACACAAACACATTCATAAACAAAGTTTTTAAAAACTCACATAAATAGCATTCTACTCTGCCTGTTTTACTTTTCTCTGTTCATAATGTTTTAGATTTATCTATGTTGCTATGGAGAGCCACCTCTTGCACTTGAACCTCTAATGTTTCAATATGCCACCTCTGTCACTCTATTTTTTCCTTTTATAAGCATCAATGGCTTTTTATGTGTGCAGTACCAGTCTTCCCTGAAGGTCTTATTGTGTCCTTGCTCCTGTGGGCAGATGGAGACCTAGAGGTGGTGCCTGGTGCCCAGGGCTGCATCCTCCGGGGGAAAGGCCAAGTGTGTGGCCAGTACAGGGCTGAGGTCTGCCCAGCACAGCTCTCTTCTAGTCCATTCCACATTTCCTTGCTGTAAGCTTTCATGCCAGGAGAGGCTCCTAGAGGTCAAGCCCATGTTGTCTGAGAGCCCAGTTGTTCTCTCCTAAGGCAGGACAGCCTAGGTAGAGACAGTCATGTCCCTCTACACCTGTGGAAGAGGACTGGGGTCGGCAGGCTGCACGTGAGGGAGCCTGATCCCAGAAGTTGGAAGAAGCCAAGGGAACTGTAGAATGGAGATCCTGAGTCAGGCTGAGTCAGGTGGAAAATAGTAGCTCTGCAATGCTGGTGGGTCAGGCCCACCGTAAGTAGGTCAGGCTTGGCCCACAGGCCTTCCTTACCCACTTCTATTTCCACCCAGGCTGTGGAGTCCCTGCCATCCATCCTGTGCTGACTGGTCTGACCAGGATCGTCAATGGTGAGGACGCTGTCCCTGGCTCCTGGCCCTGGCAGGTGTCATTGCAGGTAAGATGGGAATCCAGGGCATGCAGAGGGTACCCTGGGTTGTTGGCCAGGCTGGTATGCTTCCTGGGCAGTAGCTGTGACCCTTCCCTCCCCTCTCTCCAGGATAAAACTGGCTTCCACTTCTGCGGGGGCTCCCTCATCAGCGCAGACTGGGTGGTCACTGCTGCCCACTGTGGAGTCAAGTGAGTAGGCGGCCTGGGTTCTACTCCTAGCTCCAGGATCTGAGGATATGAGGGGATGGGTGTGAGAGGGCAGGGCCCCATCCTCTTCCCAACCTCTTCTGTGTCCATGCCTAGGACAACTCATGTGGTGGTGGCTGGGGAGTTTAACCAGCGCTCTGATGAGGAGGATGTGCAAGTCTTGAAAGTTGCAAAGGTACCAGGCCCAAGAACAGGAGCTGGACCCCCAGAAACACGTGACCTGTCTAGTTCATGTCCTCACTGAGGTTGTGGTTGTCACTCTCAGGTTTTCAAGAACCCCAAGTTCAACATGCTTACCATCCGCAATGACATCACCCTGGTGAAGTTGGCCACGCCTGCCCAGTTCTCCAAGACCGTATCTGCCGTGTGCCTTCCCAGTGCCAGTGACAACTTCCCTGATGGGTTACAGTGTGTCACCACTGGCTGGGGCAAGACCAAGTCCACTGGTGAGTGTGCATGGCTTTTCCACAGTGGAAGCTGTCCCTGGGTTTGTGAGCCAAATGGTTTTTTTAAAAATTAAAATCTATAAAACACATGGGCATGGTAGTGCATGCCTATAATTCCAGCACTCAGGGAGCTGAGACAGAATTTTGCTGCACAGTCAACCTGGGTGACACAGTGAGTTCAAAGCCAGCCCGAAATACACAGCATGACCCTGTCTCAAAAATTTAAAATAATACAAATTTTTGTATATAAAATATACAATTACCAATTAAGAACAAAGACAAAAACCTACCACATACAAATAAACTGAGGGCTAATGGAAGTATGCCTTACAGAAAGCTTGTAAAGAGAGATAGGAGCGGGGGGCGGGGGGGGGCTGGGCAAGCTGCCTGCGCCCCCTGGGGCACCTTCAGCAGACAAGGTGCTCTCCAGCCCAGTGGCTTTGGCGGGACAGAGGCTGTGAACCCACCTCTCCTTTCTGTGCAGCTACCAAGACCCCCGACAAGCTGCAGCAAGCAGTCCTGCCCCTTGTGTCCACTGCTGACTGCAAGAAGTTCTGGGGCACCAAGATCACTGACGTGATGATTTGTGCTGGGGCCAGTGGCGTCTCTTCCTGCAATGTATGTTCCTGGGGAACCAGGAGGAACACAGGGACCCTTCACACAGGCCTGGGCTCTCCCCTGCCCTCCTCTACTTACAAGGCACCACTGGTACTAGCAGGCACCCCTGGCCAGGTCCTTTAGCCAGTGCCGTGCTGTGCTGACCACAGAACTCAGTCCTCAAGGCCTAGGAGCACAGATTCCAGCCCATGGGAAAGGGGACAGCCAGACTTAAGACAGTGGAAGCCACCTGTGCAGGGTTTTAGAGAGTAGACAATAGAGCTGGGCTTCATGGCATCCAGATGGAAGTCAGTTGTGCAGAGCCACTGTGCCCACCCTTGCCATCCCTCTGCCCCATTTCTGCCTTTCCTGACCCTGGAACTGTGGTCCCTGGCATCACTTTCAGATTGACAGTTAGGTCCTCTCCCTCCCTGCAGGGTGATTCTGGTGGCCCCCTGGTGTGCCAGAAGAATGGAGCCTGGAACCTAGTAGGCATCGTGTCCTGGGGCAGCAATACCTGCTCCACCTCCACGCCTGCTGTGTACACTCGAGTCACCGCACTCCTGCCCTGGATTCAGGAAATCCTGGCAGCCAACTGATCATATTTCCTTGCCATCCCTTCTCCAGAGATCCCCAATAAAGTCTTTTATTCAGAAACACTAGCTACATGTGTCTCACTGAGTGACCCATGGGGATGTGGGACTACACTGGTCCACATCAGTCACCAAGCGTGCACTACCATTCCCTTACCATGCTGTAGCACTCAGACAGCTGAGGTCCTTCTGGGTCCTCCTCACACACAGTCCAGACCCCGCTGCCAGAGTCATCTTGAGCCCTGGAGCTCTCTGGAAGGCAGGAGGCCCTGCCCACTCTCTGCTCCACTCACTGCACTGGGACCTAAGCAGCTCCCAGTCACGGCTTCTGCCTGCTCCACAGGCTCCAGGCACCTTTCTCTGCATCTAGCCCCCTCCAGCCAGTGCCTGGAGCTGCCTTCCAATCCATCCCATCTGCAACACCAACCCCTGCTCACACTGCACACAAACTCAGCTGCAAGCCTGGCCATCTTCAATCTGGCTGCAACACACCCGCAGCTCCCTGCCTGCCTTGTCCTCGGGGTTTTCTGTTATGGAGGAGTTGGCTTCAGAGGCCTGAGCACTCTCAGGTCCATCTGTGGTCAGGCACAGGTTGGAGCTGGCTGTCTCCTGGGACAGGGTCAGGACTGGCTGTCTCTCTTTGCTGAGGTCAACTGGCCTTGATGCTCCAAGCCTGCACCATGGATCCTGTGAGGGACTGCAAACAGGTGGCAGCTGAATTTTAGCCTTTCCTTTTCTTTACTACCTGGGAGATTCCATAGCGTTGCCTCCCCTGCTCTCCTATTTAAATACCCAGGGGCACAGGGCATATAGAACAGTGATGGAGAACCTTTTAGGACTTTCAGTGATGCAAACAGCCTGCTATGGCACATAGCATAGGTTTGCCACCACTGACATGGAACATGCTATTTTAAAGCAATGTTTCTTCCTTATCCAATATTTAAGATATGATTTTGTTCCCTCTAATCCTTCAGCAGTGGGCCAACTGGTTTTCTGTTGATGTTTTAGAATCACTAGGATCTTGTGGGTTTAGACATATTTGAGGACTTTGATCCACTGTATTAGAAGCCTTCCTGAAGCTCACCTAATTCCCCTTTGACCAGCAGGAGCTTCTCTTGTGACTTTCCCACTATGTCACTGTGGCCCTTGTTGCCCTTCATCACTTCCTCCCTCTCCATGACAACTGGCTCTAAGCTTCCATCTGAACTCATGTCTAGATCTCTGCTTCTATAATATGATGAAAAACTTGGAGAAAATTTCCCCATTTTTTAGATTGTCTGAAAATATCATCACTCCCAAATATTAGGTAAGGTCCCTACCTGTAAGCTTCACCCCCAGTCCACTTAAAAATCTTTTTTCTGGGCCGGGGTTTAGCTCAGCAGTGTAGGTACCTGCTTGGCAAACTCGAGGTCATGAGTTCAATCCCTGGTACCAAAAAAAAATTTTTTTTTCTAAGACAGAGTCTTCCTAAATTGTCCAGGGTAGTCTCAAACAATTGATTTTCCTTCCAAAATAGCCAATATTACAGGCAGGTGCCATCACACCTAGTTGCCTTCATTCATTTTAATTTTCAAAAACATGTATGTATCTATGTCCACATGTATTTTATACCCTGAAGATATTTCATTGCCTTTAGGTTTTCCTTGAGAGGTCAATGTTCAGAATTCTTTTTGCTTTCATAAAGGTTTTATAGTTTTTATTTGGGTGTTTTCAATTCTGTTTTCTTTTCAGCAGTAATACTTTGATACTTTGTTCTTATCCTACCTGGAATTCTTAGAGATTATCAAAACTATGGATCAAATAATAGGATTTTGCTGTTGGTGATGATGATGATGATTCTGTATTTATTCTTTCTTTTTTTGGTTAAACCAGTTTTGGAGAATGTTAGCTATCATCTTTCCAAATATTTCTTATGCCCCACTTTTCCTTCTATAAGGAGCACTAATTATATATATATATATATATATATATATATTGTAACTGTCAGAACCAGGACCACCCCAAAATTTCCAGCCCCATAAAGAAAGGTACAATTACATCATAGATCTAGAAGGGAGAAGATTTTCCTGGATTATACAAATGAGCCCTTAACCCTATTCCAGCTGTTCTTGTAAGACAGCAATTGAATACACAGAAAACAGAGGAATGTGAAAAATGGAGATGGAGATTTGGCATAATACAACCACAGGAAAAGGACACCAGCATCTACCAGAAGCTGGGAGAAGCAAGGGATGGCTTCTCCTGTAGGGCCTGGCACATACCTTGATCTTAGCGCAGTGACACTTGGGATGGACTTCCAGCTTCCAGAATTCAAATAGGTGTTTGCTCTTTGAAGCCTCTGTGTTTAAGGGTAATTTGCTGCAGTCATGTCAGATACTAACAGATACTTGTTAGACTTCTGTCTATACTCAAATTATCAGGAGCTAGCCAAGCTCCCAATCTTAGAGATGAACATACAGGAAAGAATTAAATAAAGACACAATGTGATATGGTTTGAGGGGAGTCCAGAAAGGTCAGAACTCTCTTGGAGCTAACACAAAGACTTCTCTAGACTATCTGGGTCCTTAACAAATCAGGGGAGTGCAAGGAAGTGCATGGCACATCAGAAGCAAAAGGCATGGGAAAATGAGCAGTCCTTGAGGAATTAAAACAAGGACATTCAAAGTAGTAAATCTTGTTATTTGAGAGAACTGTCTTATTTCTTAGGTTGGCAGTTACTGCCCTGGAATAAGGACTAAGAGAAAATATCCTCAGCTGTGTGGTCTTATCTTGCTTTCAGAGACTGTGAATAAGAACTTTTCCAACACAGTGAGAGAGCACTGTGGTCAGCAACTTACCCCTCACAGAGCCTGACCCCCAACATCAAGTGACTCTTCCGCTGTTTTCTGTATTTTCCACTGTTTCTTCGTATATCCCGTGGAATTTTTTTCACCTGGTTTTTTTTTCAGCTGTTAAATTCATCCATTGATTTATCAACTTTAGGTTTTGTAAGTTTCCATATTAAAATTTCCTTCCAAATAGTCTTTAAAAATCCTTTTCAGGGTCAGGGATTTAGCTCAGTGGCACAGTGCCTGCCTGGCAAGCATGAGGGCCTGAGTTCAATTCCTGGTACCCCCTCAAAAATAATCCTTTTCAGTTTTCTGGTGAACTCTCAACCCTACCATTTGTTTCTTCAAACACAGTAAGTAGTTATCCTCAAGTCCATGTCTAATCTCTCTACTGTCTAAATGTCCTTTGAAACTTTTCCCTTTTCATTTCTCTTGAAGTTTGTATATACTGCACTATTTCCTCATCTGGCCATTTTTTATTGAGTTCTGGGCATTATACTGTATGGTATAATTTTTAGAGATAATTTGAGATTCCATATGATTACATCTCCTGTTCTAGAAGACTTTCTTTTGTTTCTGGAAAGCTGCTTGGAGCACTAGCAACTTCGGGTGACCTGTATCTTATCAAAAGTTAGAGGGTTGAAATTGGGCTTTCATTCTTGTTGAAGATTGCAGTTCTTCACCACTATGATATTTTAATAATGGCTTTTATTATGTTAAGAAGTTCTCTTCCATTACTACTTTTCTGAGTGCTTTTTATCATGAAAGGCCCTCTTCTACATCCAAGGCTTTTTTCTACATCATTTAAGACAATCATGTAATGTGTTTCTATTTTACTAGTGTAGTGTATTACACTGGTTGATTTTCCATGTGGGATCACCTTTGCATGTTTGGGATACATCCCACTTGGTCATGTTGTATAATTCTTTTAATATGCTATCGGACTTTATTTGCTAGTATTTTATTGAAGATTTTTACCTCAATATTTATGACATTCATTGGTTTGTAACTTTCCTTTCTTGTGATGTTTATTAGGTTTAGTATCAGGGTAATACTGTTTTGCTAGTTTGTGCCTATTCATTTATGAATTTTTTTGCAGTGTTGGAAATTGAAGCCAGGATCATTTGCTTTTTTAAAACATTTTGATCATTAATTTTCAAACTTTCTTCCTTCCTAATGCAAGTATTTTAGGCTGCAAATTTTCCTCCAAGCACTATTTTCATTGTATCCTATCAATTTTGCTTCCTCTTAACCCAATGCTGTGCCTTACTAGAAAGACAAAAAGAAACATAAGTTAATTTTAATAATGTATTTACCCCAATATACCTGTCTTGTTATTCTTTTTTTATACACCAAAAACATTTTAATTAATTCCAACTATAGATTCGTTGAATAAGTTAATGCTGCAAATGAGAAACATTTAGGGGGAATATACCCATTAAGTAATTTGATCTAATAAGCACCACTGCTGGTATGGACAAAACACCTGAAAATGGTGTGAAATGACAACCAAAGTAACACTGGGAGCGGGGCACAGTAAGGCATTTAAAAAAGTTCCACATGGCTTTGGCATAGTCAAACAGCTTACACTACTTAACAGAAGATTTGAAAGCACCTGAAAAACATGCCAACTGTTTGAAATCTCTGCATGGCAAATTCAGTTTGCCAGCATCATTCAGATGTTTGCCAACACAGTGCGGAAGCCTCTCCCGAGATGGAGACAATGCACGGTGGGAAGGTCCTGCTTCTGGCTGTCTCACACTGGACGGCAGCCCAGGGCTGTGTGTGGAAGCCTGGAAAAAGGTGGTTTTATCTGGAAGGGGCACTGGAATTTCCATTTGTGAGGAACAACCTAGCTTTAATTTTTCAAGATATTCTGCATGCACAGGCTTAAGACACTGGAGAACTCTGATTGTATCTTCTACTTTGCACCACTCTCTTCCTTCATATATTAACAGAATTTTCGCGACCTTCTAATATTCCTGGGACAGCAGCCCTTGTCCTCTCACTCACTGAAGAAGCTCTGCCTGCTTTTTGAGTCCCTCAAGGTCGAGGTCCGAGTTTGGGGCTTAAACGTCATCATAGAGGCAGCCACCATGCCATCAGGCAGTGGGGTGGAGCTGAGCCGGCCAGTAGGTCAAGGAGCCTTGAGGCAGGTCAGCTCTGAGACCCCAGTGGCTAGGACAGGCGGCTGCGGGCGTGGCTCACTGGAGCCTGGGTGAGGGAAGGAAACGCTGCCAC